AAACGCGTCCCCGTACACACAGCACTGTACGCAGGGCTACCGCTAAGAATGCCGCAATGTTTCGTTCGTTTTGCAACATGCCACAAATCGTCGAAAAAAACACCACTTCGACGGAAGCTTGCGTAATAAGGGGGTTAAAACAAGAAAACAAATGCCATGTTTAATACATATCGACCTGTTTTACTTGCGAAAGATAACGGAACATGAACTCGTTTCGTGCGACTTCGGAACCCGAAGGAACACACCAACAACGTTGAATTTACCCGCTATCTTCCAAATATGGTATATTAATTTATTCAGTTGTTTATTTAGAGTGACGTCCGCGGTCGAATGCGATTGGCTATCGATGTCAGTGCAAAGGTCATATGAATATTAAAATTAAGTGGGCGGAAGGAAAATTGTATAGGAGACAAGCTGGAGTCTCGTGTGGCGATAGCGATAACACCGGGACGAATGGTCTGGGGTAAAATGGACAGATGTCTACCACTTCATTCACACATAGACAAAATATTATAGTACATGTATATGCATACTAAAATTCATATTTTTGAAAATGGCATTGGTGTACAATGTTTTTGGCTCGTTGTTTTAAAGCACATGCTACTGTAACACACATGTTATTATTACTTAGTAGCAAGGTGAATTTAATCGATTCTCTAGTGGTTGAATATTAAAAAATGTATCACTAGACATTGTAGAAATCTGGTTAGTATGGTCCTGGTTGCATGATATCAATGACAGCTATCAAATTGGAAGAACTTTATTCAAATATCACTGCTACACCACGAACAAAATGCTGAATTTTAAATTTTATTTTTCTGTGGATTGAACTAACAATATATAACTGTTATGAAATGCACACCAATATTATAAAAAAAGTTAAGATATAAATCTAACAGGATTTATGGCAATACTTACTCAGCTGACGCTCCCAATTCAATGCATGTACCACCATTATGGCAAACAGTCAGTTCACATTCTGTTGCCCCGCACTCGCCAACATTACGACCAAACTTTACATGTCCAGCTGGCTGCCCAGGGGGAGTGAAACCGCTTAATTTACCAGCCTTTATCTCAACATCATATATGCAGCCTGTACAAATGAAATTTTGATAAGTTGACCGATCAAAAATGGTAGCTCTGAAACTTTGGAATAGTGAGTGATCAGGAATTTACATTTAAAAATCAGTAATTCAAGCAATTATGTGTTTTCAGATATGACAATTGTCAAGAACTTTGAGATGCATGAAACAAGACATGCATGCAAATACCATCAGTCTGTCCTCTAACAGGACTATTTTTTTGGGATCCTGAGTTGAAATGAAATCCCCAAAATCAAGTTGAGTCAGTTTGTTGACTGATGGGAAGGTCAGCTTTTAATAAATTGCTTGTCCCAAAACAAATATTGTGACCCCTGATTGCCTTTTTAAACTTATTTTGTTTATAAATTATGAATTTTATTTCACCTAATTACACATTCCATAAATATATTAAGATGTTTTCAAGATGATCTGATCTCTATATTAATATATATGATTTTTCCGTTGTTTCAATGACATGTCAGTGAATTACTAGTTGTGTTACAACAAAATTTTGTGTGTCAGTAGAGGGTACACTGAATATCATATCTTCAATCAAAGACGCTATTGGTCTAATTACAGGTCATATAAACCAAAAATTGCTTTTAATATATCTAGATCACTAAAATACACCAAACTATTTATGCAACTTCATAAGCAATAAGTTAATGGCATAATATTTTCCGAATTTTGTTATTTATTGAAAGCTGCTAAACAAATCCATAATAATTTATCCAAAACGACATTTTAATTCTCACCTTGAAATCCATTTGTAAAATTAACAGCAGGTGGCAATAGTTCTAATTGATATACATCAAATCCACCGATGTAAATATCAGTAAACGAATTCAATCCGATGAGGTGTCCTAAGGTGGTTCCTGTTACATTGCCTTGATTGTCAATCTTCATCCACACTAGCTGTTTATCATGTCCCATATCAACAGTATGGAATGTCAGTGTAAGATCTATGGGAGCTGAGCTTCTTACAAAGGCAGGACCTGTAATGTATAACAGAGAATATGTGGAACTAACAGACAGACAGACAGATGGACAGACAGCTGTTTATCATGTCCCATATCAACAGTATGGAATATCAGTGTAAGATCTATGGGAGCTGAGCTTCTTACAAAGGCAGGACCTGTAATGTATAACAGAGAATATGTGGAACTAACAGACAGACAGACAGATGGACAGACAGCTGTTTATCATGTCCCATATCAACAGTATGGAATGTCAGTGTAAGATCTATGGGAGCTGAGCTTCTTACAAAGGCAGGACCTGTAATGTATAACAGAGAATATGTGGAACTAACAGACAGACAGACAGATGGACAGACAGCTGTTTATCATGTC